GTATTACTATTTGTTGTGCCTCTGCATACTAGTCTAGACTTTCCTTTCCAATTTGGTTCCGTCCATGACAGACGGCAATACGGAACTGAATGTAGAATCAGGAGCGCTCCCTACAATCACGAATTTTGTCTGTCTAATACAGACTGACGTCCGCGCACTAAGCACGTCGTATATTATTATTGCACTTTCTCTCCTTTGTTCAAGCCATTGAAGTTCGGAAATAATCATTAACTGATTGCACAATTTAACTCTTTTTGTTTCCAAAGTGGCAATACTTTGTTGGCATATTCGAAAAAATATTAATATAAAAAAAGTGTTCATATACAGATTTAAAGAACATGAAATATAACTCTATAGAAGAATGCAAATGCTTCAGTATTATTTGTGCTGTGTAAAGATGATACAATTTTTCTTCGCAGATACAACATATTATTTTATTGGTGCCTCCAGACGTCCTGATTTCTTTCAGTCGGCTTTGGATTATGTTCCCAGTGTTAAAACTGTGGTATTTTTGATGATAATAAAAAAACATCTGTTTCAGAACAGACGCGGCTTTTTTGTCCTACATGTAATACTGACTTTATAAAAGATCCAAGAAGTTATATAGTGCATGTTTATATATTTGTGAATTATCAAATGTAAAGTTTAACATTTTCAGTTAGTAAGTAAAAAAATAAGAAGAAAATATGCAAGATAATTTTTGTAATCAGAGATGAAATTGCAAGGAATAGATTTTAATGCAAATTACAAATAATTCTTATGATCATGACTAATATATTGATTTTAAAATCAGGAAACGGGTATTGTTTGTTCGTCTGTTATTTAAATACAGTTCGTGATAAGTAAATTATACCATTGAATTTGGGATGGTAATGAAAGAAAACACCAGGTGATCCGGAAGGGTAAGCGTCGTCTGACTAATTGGCCACGACCACCATATGCATCTATATGAAATACAAGTAGTGCCATGTACTCATACTGGTAACGGAAATCGATTAGTGATGAAAAAGGTTTACTTATGTCCGTAATAAAGAATCGACCTTCATATCACGCCGAATATCGAGAATCGACCTTCATATCACACCGAATATCGAGAATCGACCTTCATATCACACCGAATATCCATATCGCTGCTATAGTTGACCTGCCTTGCAGAGGAGCAAATAGTGATATCTCTATTCAGTCAAACAATTCTGACTTAGGTTTCAGTCACCTGATTTCTGAAGGATGTATCTCTGGTTTCTTGGTGAATACAAATGCTTTATTCTGTACAGTTCAAAACTCGATTTCGCATGACTAAGCAGCTCTCTAACAAATGGAAAAAAAGAAATGCAAGAAGACATATTCAATGAAATATAATACCATGACAATGAAATGAACAGTATCCAGCTATGTTGTCCTAACATGCATTAGCAGATTGGCGATGTCCAGAGGTCCTTGTTTGTTTCAAAATACCATCGTTAGCAAGGCCAGTTTTATTAGTCGTCAGTGCCTTTGTAGCATTCATTTGAAAATGAAAATGTCTGACAATTTCAAAGAAATCATGCTGTTTTATTGATAGTTTTGTGCTAAAATGATCAATACTATCTCGACAAAAATGAGTTTTGGATTTGGGATTTCTATTATTTGTTTTTGTTTTTCTTTCAATTATGAAGAAGTCGTATTTATCCCATCATACAGGATATATCACATATGTTAGCTAAAGGAGGTAGACAATAATTGAAAGGTCAATAGACACTTTTGGAACTACCGACTAGCGCTATTTGACATTATATGTAATTGATGTATATGCCCCGAGCAGCAGACATTGAAAATACCCATTAAGTGTAAAACAGTGTAAAAGTGAATGCGAAACTAATGTGTTTACACCATGGATGACTTTGTCTGTTTGTAGTCAGTCTGCTCTAAATAAGGTAGTTTACTTTCTGTTTAATGTTTTATACGCTAACGCCTTTTTGATTTGATTAAATAACGTAATGTGATCTGAACCACTTTATCTACGTATGACATCACGAGCGTTGCCAAGGTAGACACGCTGCGTAAAATTCTTATGTGATATAAATGTCGATAATTTGCCTATGCTCACGAGAGTATATAATGTTTTTGTTGTCATCACCCGAGTTCTCCATGCGAGGACGCGACATTACTTGGATGCGACTTATATTTGCATTGCAGGTGTCATCGATGTAGCCACAGTCGTGAACCCTCCGGAACACATGATTCCACTGCCCCAGTTTATCGATTTTGCGTTCGTGTTGTCGTTTTGTTAATACTTCGGTATTCTCATATTGTTCTTTTAATGGTTAAATAAGTGGACTGAAAGAATTCCGAAAAGCTGTTGAATTAAGTAGAAGAAATCAAAAGTTTCATTGAAATCTGAAGTAATGATATAGATTTATTTGTACATTGTACTACACAAGAACAAAATAATGAACATCAATGTCCAAATTAATGCCAAAACATTCCGCGAAATAACGCAGAAGGACAAATTGCATTTTATCCCCTTTAAAACATTACAAAAAAGCTTTATACTGCAAAAGATACTTTATATTTGAACTAACAGAATTTCACGATATTATACATCTGACAAAATATAAATACTGCCTGACTGAATAAATATGATAAAAGTATTGTACTTTAGCAGCTTGGTAATGAACATTTGGTTAGCTGACAGAAGTTGATATCTATCTTGATCAGTTTTAAACAGTCATATACTATAAATGGTATTTATCTCTTTCATGACCACGAAGAGAAAACAGATACTTTCGTCACATGACATACGTATATTGCATGCAGTGGAATGAAGAGAATCCCACCGATTGTCATGGTGTTTTTCTAACAATTGCGTCATTATTTCTCAAATATAGAAGTGCAACGCTTGTGTGACCATTTGTTTATGGCGTCATAATGAAAATAAAATTCGATGTTGTGACGTCATAATTACTTCTTAACTGGGACGTTGTACCTAAAAGATTTCGCAGTACGTCAACACGGGCAAGCAAATGCCTATTGGATTCAAAAGGTTCTGTGTAGATGAGCTATTTATTTTAAACATCATTGTTTTCAACGCAATAATACCTCATAAATCGCAATTCAATATCTTTCATCAATCAAAAAGCTTACGTTTGCATCAAAATATTAATAGAACAAAAATCGTTTTATTCAGTATTGTATTTTATTTTCAAAAATAGTACTTAAAAATACCTGTATAGTAGATAGGCTAGAGATATTTATGTCAGTGTAATATTTATTTAATGACGTCATATTCACCTGATCCCCTGTCTTCACAATGTATTCTGAATGGCAATCATTCGTCATACCATTCTTACCCAATTATGAGTAGATGATCTACACAGAAAACTAGCCATGCTCTTCTACCAGGAACATTGCCGGAAAGATTGTATCCGTGCCCTAAGGTAGAGGAAGTGATTACTACCGACAAGAGAGTCCAATGTATCGCTGACATGAGGATCTATTAAGTTGTGTTATTTGCTACAACGATACAGTATTGGCATTTCAAATCAATCATTCTGTCGAAGATGCATAATGTCACCATTTGATACAATAGAAAGAATAATAACTTGTGCGTTTGACCAAGAACATGCTCTGAGATACTTACTACCCCTTGGCTACATGGTAGTCTAGTAGGATCAGCGTGCAGTATCCCGCTAGTCAACCATTCCTGTATATCGGTAACCATGTCCCGGTAGCATATATGCCTGCTAATAGTTCGGTTTTTGCACGTTATTATTATTTTTTAATTGTCATTTGCTTCTGGCGCTGATATATGAACATCCCCGAAGGCAGTCGGCGGTTAACAGAAACGGAAGAAGTTGTTAAATTGATTGATTGTTGCTGTGTTATTGCAAAAAAGATGAATAACACACAAACACTGCAAAAAATGGAATATATAACGAGGGTGAACAATTGTCAAAAACATAATCAACGAACTATCTGTCCAACAATTCTGAATCCTGGGTTATATTTTCAACCAATAATATACAAACTGATGTTGATTATATTTATTCTACCTCGTGAAAATGTAATGAACGGTTTTGTCTTGTCTCCCTCACTATCCATACGTCTGTGATACGTAAGATGGCCTAGACGTTTTAACTTGCTAAATTGGGCTGATCCTTTTCGCGCGCAAACATTTGTTACGTGATCCCTATATGCATTCATTTCACAACAAGCTGCGCGTTCCTATCATTTCTGACTCGGGAGGTACTTTTCCTGCTTTGTCTATTTAACCTGCATTACATTGGGACGGGTGTTCATTTTCAGTCGTCGCAATTTGGTCGACAGACGATAAACAATTAACACTGACGTCATGCTTTATATCAAATGTTAATTTCAATCAATTAAAACCGCCAATCCATCGACGTCGTTCGTCATCAAATGAATTAAGTATTTAACAGATTTACAAACACTATGTCAAGGCACATTTGCGATAAGTTCGGAAAAAACAATTCTCACCATGAGCTTGATAATTTTTAAACGGATCTGAAGCTAAATTATATATTTTTTGTTTGTCCATTGGCAAATCTTCAATTACGTTCAAAATTAAATGCGTATACCCTCATTCGACAAAGGAAACCAGTAGTAGTCACTAGGAAATATCAGTTCTCTCCTAGGAAGGTTCGCCTCAGACTTTAACAATTAAGATGACCTTAATATGTCCCCTTTAGTCACATAATACACTGTTATTAGGACACTTTAATCGATATATGTACAAAGTACACCTATTGCTATTTTTAGATAACAGAAAGAGTCAATATCATCATTTGTGGATATGTAATTTCATACTTAAGCATGAATGTTCTCTTAAGATAGATTTCCACCATTTGAAACATGTAGAACAACATTATTCACGAAAAGAATCCAAACCAATAACATCATGACACGACAGAATAGTTTGTAGTTATGAAAGCAACACTACCACGAAGATCCCCGAATGCTTAAATTAATATCAATTACAATTGTAATTCTTTCTATTACAGACTTTCTGATGGCGGTATTTTACATTTTCCCCGTGGTGATAGATCGACTCATGGACGCCTGGCTTGCTGGTCTGTTTATGTGTAAGCTCATTAAATACCTGAGCTTGGTCGTGTGTTTCGCCTCGACCTATATGCTAGTGGTCCTTAGTTTTGACAGATTGTACGCGATCGCTCGACCATTGTCTGCTACAAGGAGAGGCATTCTCTACAAATGGACACTGGTCATCTTTGCCTGGGCTATCGCAGCTATGCTTGGAGTATATGATCCAATTTACGCGAACATCCTTACCGGAATACCAACTCCACAGCACGACACACCCTTCTGTGAAATAACCTACCCTGAAAATATGGTGAGAATGTAATAATTGTTTAATATCTTACCTACGTTGACCAAATATTATGATAATCGCCGTACAAGAACGTAGTCGAAGACATCCGATCCCCACCTGAAATCTTCACAAAGAACCGATCTCCACGTGAAATTATTCGCAGAGATCCGTTCTCAATGTATATTTTCCACAAAGATCTAATCTTCGCATGAAATCCCCCAAGGAGATCTTTTGTCCAAACAAATCCTTCTATGTCATTATTGATAAAAATACGATAGACAATACCAAGAACGACACATATATCGCCTTAAGATAGTATAAGAAGCTAGTGTATAAGAACTTTAGTGGTCAAACATTGGACACACTCCAAGACTTGTAAATTCTTACAAGTCATAGGTATTTCGAGAAAATAAAATGTAATATAATATAATGAAGATAAAAATGTATCATTGGTCAGTAAATATAAAACGTTTATATTTAACACCGACAACATCTCATGTTGGAAAAAAAAAGATAAAAGATTCTTTTTATGATTTCCAAGGGTCACGTCCTATAACATACAAATACTTAACTTGTTTAAACGGCTAGTAAATTATCAGTTATGTTTCACAGGAAACACCAAATCCGGACCAGAAGAAGAAACGATGATTTCTATTTTTCTGGAAATATTTTATTTATGCGTTGGACTTTTTTTATGGTTCTGGTAGTTTTTCCGTTTTATTAAACTTGAATCATGTCATGTGTGATGTCGCTGTATATAAATATTTTTGACAGTGACTCTATAACTTCTTTTATCACAATCTTGACACCTCGCACTCAACGCTTTAACTAAAACTCTTTCTAAACCCATTGGAAACTATCTCCGGTTTAATAAGCATCGATCCGGACAAATGTGCACTCTGTTCCATAACTCTCAGAACATCAATTTTTATTTGAGTTTTGAGCGAGAAGAAAAACATATCGGCACTTATTGTTATACCTTAAGCAAATCTGTGCATCCTCGCATAGCAACAACCTGCATACCAAACAAGATGAAACGCTGTTCTCTATATAATATTTGCATTATCCCATTCAATACCAACATGTAGAAGTTATATACCATATATTAGGTTATATTGGATTTTACGTTAAACGTGCTTATATATACGGACAGAATCACCTTCCTTACCAGCAAGTTTAATTGCATTTCGCAAAAAAAGTACCAATCAATACAACATATTATACCACAATGAGGAGATTAGCTTCGTATGTGGTACTGATCAAAGGGAATCCCTCACTTCATTGTGTCACACGTTGTTCTGTTCACGCTTTTAACATATATTTGTAACAAATAAATTACATTCTCACATGCAAAAAAATAGAATACAAAGTGAAAAAAGCCATACTCAATTTTGCAGCCCTTGATTCAATCATTAAAGGCTGTTTATGTGCATCGTGATATCGTGATATCGTGAGGCACGTTTGATGGTATTAGTTGCTCGGTTAAGACTGTAATATTCATCAGTTCATCGTGTTCACGGATAATTGCTATCAGGGAGGTTTGGAAATTATAGAAAGTCAAGGTATAATCTATAACTTTCACGACAGCCTAGTTCTGCTAAAAACTAAATTGATATGGATCTGGAAAATAGCGAAAGCTCGTAAAGTTACATGGGACCGAAAAAAATCTATAGATTCCATGTATAAATTTCAGTAATTTTACATCTAAAATCTAAGTGTTATTATATTTATTATATATTATTGCAACGACATGTCTTGATTACATTAATGTAACATAGATATGCATAAACCAGGTCGCAAGTAACGTTATATGAAGAAATATGGATTCTAATAAATCTTATATAGTTATCACCTGAATCTCCATCGGAACATTCCCGTTATTACGATATTCATTACATTTTATTGAGTTAGGACAAAATATCCAACGGTTATATTAACGCACCAAGTAAATTTAAAAATAGCGATTCGTTTCATTACAAGTATTCTACGTCCTCTTTGATTCCAGACTAAAGGCTTATAGAGCACTGGACGAGAACATTCACATATGACCGGAAGCCAGAAGGATTCCTAACTGCAGAATACACGAACTAAAAATGGTTCACAGTTGTAGAAAAAACCGATTGCTTGGCTTAAATAAGGAACTGAACATTGTATTCACCTGAAGTTAAATGTTGATATATATATACGTTTTGGTTGACAACTATTCCAGAAAGATGTTTATACGTTCTACGTTATCAATAACTTAAATTACTTACCTACCCTTTTTACCCTTTTTTGCAAATTTTATTATGACGTTAATTAGATTATGACGTCACATGTACACGAAACAATGAAGTTTTTTTTTGAAAAATGGCACATTAGCGTCAACTGATTTGAATTATAAACCTTATAGTATATCAGCATATAAGTTAGGCATATAAAAACCACATCTGTAAAAATGAATAGCAACTGAACGTAAATGTGCAATTTGACAAAGAACGGGTACAGTCGACTTGGAGGTTTGGAATAATGTAACAAGATGCTAACTTTGAGAGTAAGTAAGACGGACTGAGATTGTGTCTCCTCTAATCGTGCCATCTGATACTTCACAACAATCCCTCCGTGACCTACTCTCATTGCCTACCACCCGTGCTAGCGTATACGGCATACCACGTTAGTGATCAAGTATTGCGTGTTTAGTCAGTAGCATGCCATTTACAAAGTATACGATTCATTTTAATCAACAAAGATCAATGTTCTTCTGCCTAAAGTGGAACAGAATATCTATAAAGGATTTTGTTAAAGACAGATTACTTACAAAACGAACACAACACAGACTAAGTTTCCCCTGATCATATTGATTAATTTGTACCATTGCCTTACATGTATTACATCAGAAAAATCATCACAATGTTTTAACCCGTTAATATTGTAGGTCACATATTTCATGTATTTAGAAGGGTAATAGAGTTTCCCTTTCTTTCAAATTATTGGAAGTTGAAACTCTTCTGAAATCTGACAATCTGAAATTTGTTCATTGAATGGAAATTGAAAATAATAGCCGAAGTGAGTTAATATCTTTTGATGACTCTTGAACTTATCGTTGTCATCATTGTATATATATGCTGCTCATAAATACTCTGCTAACATTAGTAAGTATCAAATTCAATTTTCCCTACCTAGTTTCCACATTTCCATTACTCGTTAAAACGTTCGTGTGCATATGCAAAATAAAACAACAACAACAACAACAACAACAACAACAACAACAACAACAAGTAAAACAATGTATCACATATAAACATTGAATTGTCTTCAGTTGGCCTTTACATGCAACATAGATTGCATGAATTGTACACATTACATCTTCAGTACCCATGCAGGCATACACACATAGGGAGATATTAGACAGGTGGCATAGGACTAGTAGTAAGCGCCTGATAAGGCAGCTCCTGCAAATTCCTCACAATTGTATTGATTAATGTATATGCTAATTGAATTGATTGTATACATTTTATATCTATGTACTGCAGATCGCTTTAGAGTGGCGTACGATAGCTAGACAGGGCGCTATATCAAATGTTGTATGCTATTTATTATTATTATTAACTCCATGAAGTACGCAAACACTTCATATTACATAGATGATGAATACTTCATTAATTCTAATATCAAAGAAATGTAATTGTAATTGTTTAGGCCTAACAAAAATAAATATTTACTTCGTATCATCGCACTTATCTTGAATGCTTGTTGAACAAATGAAACAACACTCTTCGAGGGAGGTGAAACCCAGCAATAAAATCATGACGTCATGATAATAAAGATGACGTCACTAATTATATCTTGGCATTCATAGCTGATATACAAAGTCAAACATTTGTAAAGATTGCTAAGCGAACATTGTGCACCTCAAAATGAGTTTCACATAAGGTTATTGACGATAAACTCGCATGGCGCTTTTTGTTTGTTGGTTCAGGCAATTACACAGAGAGAAGCGAACCGTTACACTTTAAGATCTTCGGAACATTCATTAACGCTAAGACAGATTCATTTTAATTAGTTGCAGGATTTTAATCTGTAATCAAATGTTAAAATTGGAAAGAATATTGGTCTCGTTTGTTTTAAGATCAGTCGAAATGGCAAATGAAATTATTTGTTTTTCAATTTCAGAAGAAGCCAATGATTCTGCTTTTTGCGATGATCAATATGTTCCTGCCAGTTTTACTAATTGGCCTCTGTTATTCGACTATTGTCGCTATGATATGGAGACGGGGAAGACATGGGATACCTTTAACAAAACAAAAACATGCAGGTAAGCATTCCATCTTTTACGTCCAATGATAGTATCGGTTCGAACTCCGGTATTCAATTAGCTAATAAAACATCGGAGGAAATAGTTTGTAATACTAGCATAAGGAACACTAGGGCATGCATACAGCATAAACGTTACACTTATTGTTGTTTTAGCAAGAGATATCCCTGAAAAATATATAAAACAATAATTGTCAGTTTTACAGAATATCGGTCTTACAGCAGGTAAACCTCTAGGAATTTCCATGTAGTTGTTTGTTAGTGCAGCGCGACCAAACTTGAGTACTACCATCGACTAAGTTGTTCATTAAGCTTCACACTTATTATTGTACTTGATCAACTCAAATTCAAACATACGAGATAGAACGCTTGACAGGTGACAGACAGTACGAACTCTCGGTTCACGAAGAACATCCTGATCTGATTAAAGCGCGAGTCAAGCCTCACTACATCAAAGGTTTATAACTTTTGGATTGATTATTCTGCAGATGACGGTATTATCAATGTACTGATGGTGCTGTGGTGGCGGGCTGTGACATCAATTTTGTGATTTCTCTCACATTCGTGTCCCATAGGAAAACATCTATGATATAATATTTATATCTTAGATTGAACATTATTCATACTTTCAAAACTTACTGGATCTTAAAAAGAGCCTGCTCTAAATTTGTCCCTTTGGATGTTATTTTTTAACAAGTGAAAATATTTTGGGAAAAAATACTGAAAAACATTAAAATGTTTCATTTTTAATGAAAAAGAATACACCTAAAAGAAAAAGCCCCGTTTGGTTCTTTCAACATTCTACTCCAAATACAGCACCCTGGCAAAGGTCAGCCACTAAAAAATGACAGTTAAGTATGGACATCTGGTTTAAAGAAATCTTTGTTTTAAAAATGAATTGTAATGCTAATGACCTCAACATCACCATTAATGTTACTGCGCATTTATCACAAGAACATATTGGCCGCGTGTATCGCCAACCAATAGTATGGCTATGGAGTCGTAATTGGGATAAAGTAAAGGGAACGTCGACCATTTGAAGGAACATGATATATTCTTTCATCCTGTCACGTTATAGATTTCATCCAATTACCGAAGCTATAGAAATGAAGCATAATCCTATAGCACCCGAGGCAAAACATTGCTATGTAAATACTAATGCCGAACTGCTGAAATGATTTAAACAATGGCAACTTGACACTTCGAAGAGCTCCCTCATGCTAATGATATCACTTTTAATATCAGTCAACTTCCTTTATATTAGTCGCATTGACAATTTTCAAAAGGATTGGTTTAGAAAACCAGGAACATCTTTTTATCATCGCTAATGTGATTGTCATCGTCTTCTTCAGTATTTCTTCTGTCAGGCTTCCCCTACATTTAAACATGACACATTCAAAGAATCGTCACCACGCTATACGTTGGGGATATAATAAAACCTAAATGAAATATGACTTCAGAACGTTGTGCAGTGCATCAATAAATGACATTATCCATTCCCTATCTGATCTATTTACTTTTCACGGTACAGGAATACAGATTCTTGATGAGATTGGTGACATATATATGGCAACGGAAATTAATTCTTTTTGATATCACTTACTCAAGATAAAATATAGCTTAATGGTAAATATCATATAAGGTTATTACAAATTAAACACTCTTTTACATCAGGGTATAGATGCGAGATTATCCCTGAGAATACATAAGCCTGGCTAGTGATAAGCTTATCTTGTAAATGACCAACCTCACCAGTCACATAGGACCGGCTTAATTTCCACAAGAATGAAGTCTGACAATTCATCGATATAGGAGATAGGAGTATTGTTGCAAAAAAAGAATTCATATATGTATGTGGGTGGTTCGCCTGACTACACGAACAGTACACAATGCATGCCAAACAATTGATAATAATCCTGGAGATAACAGAGAAACAGGTAAGCTGCTAGGAAGATTCAGTGTGACTGTGATGGCACAGAAGTCGGCGTATATTAAAACAAAAGGTACATACTTATATAAGCACTTTTAAATCCTTAGATATTAGCATGCGAGCATATACACGAATGTGACTTAAACTTCAATATTTTGAAATATCGTGACCATATAAAGTATTGTGACGTTTCCCCTATGGTCCGTACCAGTCACACTGGAGATTCCGGCGAGTATACCTATCCAACTGGAGTGTATCAATAATCTAGTATAGATGCAAATATAAACAGATACGTTCATCTAGCTCTGCAACATTGCCTATGTCCGAGCAATCACTGCTTGTGATTATGCACCTCTTGTACTAATAAACATATAGAGGATATTTAATAGTGTCTTCAGTACTAAAAGTGTGTGGCTAATATTTTAATATTAGCCACTCGTGCTGTGCACTCGTGAAAAATGTCAAAATATTAGCCATATGAGTGAAATATATTTGTTATTACTGAAGTCATCATTACATTTTCTATTTATTACATTTTTACAGCATAAAACATGAAAAATGTAATGCATTAAAAAGGGCGGGAATCAAATGCGTCATAATTAGCACCATAATCTAATGACGTTACGCTTGACAACAAGGCTGCGCGCCATTTTGAATGAGATACTCAACGTAATTCCGACGTTTGCTGCTATTTTCTGGTATGATTGCGTATAAAAATGTTATTGATTGTATATTTATGTAAATATGTGTACCAAACATTTACCATAACAACCACTTATTCTACCGTCGCTTCATTTGAATCTGAACAAAAAATCGTTGCTATTGAATGCAGCGTTTAGACGATACCGTTTTTATTGGTCAAAACCAAAAAATGATATTTTTACACTGTACACAATACTTTATGACACTCATGTGTGTGAAGGAGACGATTTGTTCATCAACGAAAGACCGCTATAAAAAAGTCGATAAAACGTCAGAATAATTCGGACTAGCTCAGAACGTGCATGTATACACACGCGGCCGATCGCTCGCTGACCTGTCACTGCTCAACCACCCTACCTGTACTCCGGCGATAGCTCGGATAGCTCAGTACGGCAGATGTCTCGCTACAATGATAGCTCGGCAGCACTACATGTACCTATATTGAACAATCTGTAGAACTCCTCTTGCTAACCTTGAGTTATCCTGATCACTCGTTGGTCCCTATAACTCCCTATATCAATTAACGAGCACTCACAGTGCCCATGATTTAACTATGTAGCGGACCCGAAGCAGTAGCTCGCCCTTGTAAGGTAGGATACTTTCAATTGAGCGATCGTAACGGGTAACAGTCTTATTCAGACATACCCAATCATTGAAAGCTCGCTCTCTCGTATACTTACAAAAAACAAGTAATGGTCTGCTCTCGTATAGCTTCGGACACAGAATGGCGAATGGCCGCGGCCAAGCACGTTGGCCGAGAGGCTGTACACACTGGCCGTGGCCGAGAGGCGATTCACGCTGTTGGTTGACGGGTTTTTCGTCTACATGATTTCACCCATGCGGGTTTCGTCTCACTGACGAAAGTCGGTGTTCTGTCGGCGTGAGGGAAGTTGCCTTCCCTCAGGGGTGGGGAGGTGTCACCTATACTATATCTTAATGAAATTTTGGGAGAAGACTCCTTGGTCAGAAATGGTTGTTGTTCCGTACTAGTGTTTTTGTATCGTTGGAGGGAGGTGAAAACGGCCAAGAAGGCTTATAATAATGAATATATAAAAAAATGGTTTGTAAATTTTAAAAGTGTACTTATGTATATTTTTCTGTTCTTATAGGGAAGTATATATATTATGTTTGTTATTTTACCCGGGTCTCATACTACCGGTTATGCCCGACAGTAGATAAACGTCTCTGCTTCCGTTAGGTACAGTACTTTGTTTCTTTGTTAGGCTTGGCCGGAGGCTGAGGTTATCCGGGGGGTCCATATGGTGTATGCGGGCTTTTCCCTTTTAATCCAGGTGTATGTTTATATATATTAGAAGAAAAAATAAAAATTTCGGTAAATATTTGAGCAATCAAAGAAGTAAAAATTAGCTTATAGGAAGCGGGTAGCAAAGAGGTCCTTAAGAGAGGGATGTATAAGTTACTGAGCTAAATTAGATATGTTACAAATTCTATTATCATAATAAAAGATGGGAAGGTCGCTGGCCGTATCGTATCAGGATGTCTTATATGGCGTGGGTGTAGGAGGAGGGCGTGTCTACCATATCCAGGCTGTCCTATAACCCTAGCTAGCCTACTCTATTTGTGTTTTGTTTCGGTACTATGTTTTGGAAGTCCGTCGAATTGTCTTAAAAATGATATCAAACCTATCCCTATCCTCTGTGCTGGCGTTAACGCGCCTACTCTTTCGACAATACTCAGATGGATCTTTTACGTGCAGGTTGGACCCTCCCACACGGGACATCATTTATAGTCCCTTCCGACGGACTGCGATGCACGCGCGTTTTGGCCGGCCTATACACCTCTATGCCCCGTCCTACCTGTCAATCACCCCGATATTGTCTGCATCACCTATGTGTTTTGACCGGAGCTAGGTCAAGGCCAGTTCTACTCTAGCGCGTAAATAACATGGAGAAAGCACAGGAACACGGCGGTTTACAAATAAAACATAGCTCTGTAGGTTCATCACAGTATGTAGGGGGAGAGACAGCAATGCACATTGTTTTTTTTAGATCAAATGTTGAATTTTACGTTTTTATGTTTGAAAATGTTAATGACAATTTTCTAACATTCTTACTAGATAGATTTTAATCATGTGGAAGTTCATGATTTTTGATGTTGACAAAGTGTTTCATATTTAGAAACAGCAGATCAATATGTACTCGATGACGTCATTTAATTTTACACTAGTTTCTTCCAACATAAAGACTCCCATACGCTAACACTCTGACCAACAAAAGTGTTAAATAAAGAGATGGCGCGTGTTTCATATGTTGTAGTAAAATAAATAAACTTATATTTAAGTTATGATGTTCCTTAACCAATTTTCTACAGGGCCTTTTCTCCGCCTTATTTACCGGTGATGATTGGCA